GGGGGTGGCATTGGCCTGGGGGTAACAGATCTTTGCAGATATTCAGGGAGGCCCCTTGGAGCGACAGGGGAAGTGAGGGGAGATAGTTTGTCTAAGGGATATTCTGTCTCCAGGGGACATTGACTCTGGTGACAGTTTCAGTTTCAACGGGAGGGGGCTGTATTTGGTGGGCAGGGGTCACGAACTGCTAAACATCCTTTGATGTACAGGATGATCCCAGAATGTCGCAGAGTCTAGGGCCAAGGGACCCAGGTTCTGGTACATGGTACTCGGCGGCAGCCTCTCCGTGCAGGGCATCTGAATCCTGAAGGCAGCCTAGAGGCAGGAGCTATTTTTTAACAGCTTCATTGAGATAAGTTACATCCTTATAACTCACCTACTTAAAGTGCACAGTTCAGTGGGTTTTCATGTAGTCACAGATTACGCACCATCACAGATCAGCTTTAGAACATTTCGTCATTCCAGAAAGAAGCCCCGTTAGCCATCACTGTCCATCCCCCCACCTACCTCCCCCTGCCTCCCTCAATCAGTAATCTACTTTCTATCTTTGGATTTGCCTTTTCTGGACATTTCATTTATGTGGACTCATACAATACGTGACCTTGTGTCTGGATTCTTTCACTCATGATAACGTTTTCATTTGTGGTACAGCATTGTGTGAGTTGTATGAATGTACCACATATGTGTGTGTGTGTGTGTTTGATATGTTTTTATTTATTTTAGAGAGAGGGAGAGAGAAACTTTGATGTGAGGAACATCAATCGGCTGCCTCCTGCAGGCACCCTGACCAGGGATCGAACCTGTGACATGGGCATGTGCCCTGACCAGTAATCAAACTGGGGGCCTTTTGGTGCACAGGACAACGTTTAACCAACTGACCCACACCGTCCAGGGCCCACATATGTTTATCTGTTCTTCAGTTTGTGTTTTTGTCTCTCTGGGGTGCACACCAAGGAGCAGCTTTGCTGGGTCAGGTAGTACCTGCTGAACAGCACTGCATCACTATAACCCTATTTTACAGATGAAGAAATCGAGGGTCAGAGCCAGCTGAGGTCCTTCACTGTTCACTCCCACCCCATATTGCCTGGGGCCCCAGCTCCCCTCCAGGCAGCCACACTTGGCCTGACTGCGTTGAGCCCCCTGAACCCCAGGGGTGGCAGGGCCAGCTGGGGCAGGCTGTTCACACCCCCCTTCCTCCTGGCAGATCAATCAGAACGTGGAGCTTCAGCGGGGCCGCCTTCGGGATGACATCAAGGAGTACAAGTTCCGGGAGGCCCGCCTTTTGCAGGACTACTCAGAGCTGGAGGAGGAGAACATCAGTCTGCAGAAGCAGGTGTCTGTGCTCAGGCAGAACCAGGCAAGTGTCTGGCTGGGTGAGTTGGCTCTGTGCCATGGCCCTCGCCACCCCTCACTTTGTCATCCTGCATGATCAGAAGGCTACACGTTGCTACTGATCAGGCCCCTCCATGACCATGAGAACAAAGCTTCTGGCTGCAGTGTTGGCTGACCATGCCTGGCCAAGGCACCCTGGCCAGCAAAGATGGGAAATGCAGGAGCTGATGAAGAGGGGACACCAAAAATCTTCAGAGCTGGGTATCTAGCTCAGTTCCCTCTGAGGTGCTGACAGGAAGCCCAAGATGTACCCATGCCCTGTGGTACCCTGGAGGTGTTGGCCTGCATATCCCTCCTGCTGCCTCAGGTTTGCCAGCCCCTTTTGATCGTGTGTGGTCCCTGGCCTCAAGGTGCCCTTTGAGTGAAGCCAGTGGGCCTTCCTTGAGGAGCAGTGTAGAGATGTTCGAGCTGTCATCTCCTGCCCTTGAGTAATCTCCGCAATGAGTGAGATGAGCAGGGTCATCTTCACCTGTGGCGGGACAACCAGGTGGTTCTGGGCACTCAGGTCGCTCAATGCCTGTCCCTGTCACCTACGTCTCTGAGAGCCACAGCTTCATAGGGTAGGGACTGGGGGACCTTTTTCCCAGTTTAAGTGCTGCATAGGGAAGTGTGGTCCAGATGTTTATCCAACAACAGCACTTCTGTGTTTACAAAAACCAGCAGAGAGCATACTTCTCCCCAAGAATGCAGGCATAGGAGCTTCGCCTCTATCACACACGAGGGTCCTGAGGAGAGGGACACCTTGCCCTCCCGGCCCAGGTGTCATGTGGTGGAGTCTGGCTCCATCCCAGGAACCCTCCTCCTCTGGGCTGCAACCATCAACGATCCACTCACTACTGCCTCTGAGTGGGTTCCTTACACTTTGCACAGATACTACAGGGTAATTAGAAATGTTTGGTTAAATTACACATAGACGTCGATCCCCCATATCAAGCACAGGTTCTGCCTGCTCCCTCCTTGTCCCTCTGCAAACACAGTGTCAGCAGGATTCTGCCTCCTTCCCACTGGGGTGTCTCCAGGTGTGGGTGCTGAGGCGCTGTGGTACATCCTTCCTCAGTGGGAACTTCAGTTTCTTTGTTCTGAAGTATCATTAGAATTAATGGTCGTATCACACATCTAGATACACATTTTATGTATCTTAAAATATTTAGTCAACTATTAATGTTAAGTAGTTGTGTAGAACTAACTCAATATCAGTGTATCATTGGTAACAGGTTACATCATCTAACAAATGCGCAGTGAGCATGTGTTTGTTTAGATCTCCATAGAGTCTCCAGCCTTGAGCTCTGGCTGTTGCCGGCTCACACCATGGGCACACTTGTCCTGTGTGTTCACACCTGGTGGTGTGGAGGCAGCACCCTGGTGCTTCCTCCTGGTTGCCTGCTTAGAAGAGTACTGACCTTTCTTTCTCAGGTGGAGTTTGAGGGCCTCAAGCATGAAATCAAGCGTCTGGAGGAGGAGACCGAGTACCTCAATAGCCAGCTGGAGGATGCCATCCGGCTCAAGGAGATCTCGGAGCGGCAGCTGGAGGAGGCATTGGAGACGCTGAAGACAGAGCGGGAGCAGAAGAACAGCCTGCGCAAGGAGCTGTCACACTACATGAACATCAACGACTCCCTCTACACCAGCCACCTGCATGTCTCCCTGGAGGGCCTCAAGCTCAATGATGATGCCGAAGCCCTGGCCAACGGCTTTGAGCATGGCTGCCTGGCCAAGATGCCCCTGGACAACAAGACCTCCACACCCACCAAGGATGGTCTGGCCCCGCCCTGCCCCAGTCTAGTGTCCGACCTTCTCAGCGAGCTCAACCTTTCTGAGATCCAGAAACTGAAGCAGCAGCTGATGCAGGTGAGCGGGTAGGCGGGCAGGTGAGGCTTCACCTCCACTTCTGCCCTGCCCCCCCTTATTTCACATTTGTTTATAATCCTGTGCTGTGTTAAGTGGAGCTGCAGCGTTGCAGGTGGAAGGTACCGAGAGGAGTGAGCCCTGGTTACGAGGTTGCAGTCTGAGTGCTGCCCAAGGTGTTCTCGTGTCCCTCTGCAGCGCCCACGTGCAGTCTTCCTTTGTCCTGTGGACATGTCACATCAGGATTTCCTGTCCCTCAGTTTGCTGCATGTCTCTGAGGAGGGGCCCACCTGGGCCCCCAAACCTCTGGGCAGGGGAGGGCCAACAGTGGCCCCACACGTGGCACCCCACCTAGACATGTTATTGAACTCGGGTCCGCCACTTGGGGTGCTCATTCCAGAACAAGACATGGTTGTTGCAAAGTAGTATTATTTATTTGTATCAAGTCAAGGAGATGGGATTCATCTCCAAAGCTCTGCCTGCTGGAAGGGAGGCTTGGCCTTTGCTTATACACACTGGTCAATTACATGTTGATTTCTTCTTTGCAGAGATTTGTCCCCTTGAGTGCCTGTCAAGCTCATCCTGTTTATGGCTGCTTTTGCAAAAGACTGCGCTACATTTTAACATTTAGTAACAATAGCACTTAGTAAGAACTGCTCAGACCCTGAGACACTCGTCCTGTCTCACAGTCACAGGCCAGCAGGGTGATGGGTGGGTTACTACTGGGACTGTCTGGGGGTCCCTGCGTGCTGTTGACAGGCCCTCTCTGTGCCTTTGCAGATGGAGAGGGAGAAGGCGGGCCTGCTAGTGACCCTGCAGGATGCGCAGAAGCAGCTGGAGCAGGCTCGAGGGGCCCTGTCAGAGCAGCGTGAGGAGGTGAGCCGCCTCACGGAGAGCCTGAGCGCTCTGCAGCGCCTGCAGGCTGGCAAGGAGCGGCGCACGGCCCTGGACAGTGAAAAGGAGCGCGACAGTCATGAAGATGGCGACTACTATGAGGTGGACATCAATGGGCCTGAGATCCTGGCCTGCAAATACCGTGTGGCCCTGGCAGAGGCTGCTGAGCTCCGGGAGCAGCTGAAGGCCCTGCGCAGTGCACATGAGGCCAGTGAGGCTTGGCATGCCGAGGAGAAGGGCCGACATGAGGCTGAGAGCCAGGCGCTCACTGAGAAGGTGTCTCTGCTGGAGAAGGCCAGCTGCCAGGACCGTGAGCTGCTGGCCCGGCTGCAGACAGAGCTGAAGAAGGTCAGTGACGTCGCAGGTGAGACTCAGGGCAGTCTGAGTGTCGCCCAGGATGAGCTGGTGACCTTTAGTGAGGAGCTGGCCAGCCTCTACCACCATGTGTGCATGTGCAACAATGAGACTCCCACCCGGGTCGTGCTGGACTACTACCGTGAGGGCCCGGCTGGTACAGGCCACTGCAGTCCTGAAGCCCACGGACACCGCTCACCAGTCCTGACCAAGGGACCACTGGCTGCAGAGGGCGGGGCTGGGGACAGCAGCCTCTCAGTGCCCTCGCCCCTGAGTGACCCTCGCCGGGAGCCCATGAACATCTACAACCTGATTGCCATCATCCGTGACCAGATCAGGCACCTGCAGGCAGCTGTGGACCGCACTACGGAGCTGTCACGGCAGCGCCTGGCCTCACAGGAGCTGGGCCCTGCCACAGACAAGGACAGGGAGGCACTCATGGAGGAGATCCTCAAGCTCAAGTCTCTGCTCAGCACCAAGCGGGAGCAGATCACCACACTGCGCACAGTGCTCAAGGCCAACAAGCAGGTGCATACTGCCTTTGGGCTGGCCGGGTAGGCGGGTGGGAGGTTGACAGAGGCTCCTCACCCTCACAGGGCCCACATCGTCACAGATTGGCTCAGGTCTCAGGTTGTGGATCGTGTTGGTTATGCTACTGAAGGTGGGAGGGCCTGCACGCGGTGCTGTGGGGAGGAGCTGGATGCTGAGGAGCCAGGTGGGTTGGCGTCTTGAGGGGCCTGTGCCACTCACTGAAGTAGGCGGGCCCCTCACCCACCCACCCTGTGTCTCTGGCCCCCAGACAGCGGAGGTGGCCCTTGCCAACCTGAAGAGCAAGTACGAGAACGAGAAAGCCATGGTGACGGAGACCATGATGAAGCTGCGCAATGAGCTCAAGGCCCTCAAGGAGGATGCAGCCACCTTCTCCTCACTGCGCGCCATGTTTGCCACCAGGTAACTGACTACTCCTGCTGCTCAGCTGGTGGCCCTGCAGCCTCGCGTTGGGGGAAGGGCCATTCCTGTTTGTGAAAACCCAGAGAGCACAGCTGTGTCCATTTTACATATACGATGAGGAAGCCGAAGGCAAAAGGCTTAAGAGCACAGGTCCCTAGTGGCCAGGCTGCTGTGGGCAGGTTACCCAAGGTAGATTTGGGGCCAATAACTGACAAGGAGTTTGCACCCCAGAACTTGCCTGGAAGTTTGTGGATTTAGAAGCAAGGCCTTTCTCACCCCCAATGTGCCCTGTCTGATCCTGCCAGTAAGAGATTTGGGGTGTGGGGACAGGGGTAGAGGGTGGTGGTGGCAAATCAGAGGGTCTCTGGGGAAGTTCATGGCTTCCTAGTGTTTCTGCTATCCAGAGGGGCATGGCGCCATCTGCTGGTGGTTTAGGGCAGGCCCTGGGGTAGTGGCCTGGATGGCCCCTAGATGGTCCAGGTGTATCCTTAAGGGTCAGGAGGCTGAGGCTCCCTGGGTTAAATGGGGTTGGAACTGAGCTCAGGGCCTGTTTTTCCTGACCCTGGGATGCTGGGTGATCCCCACTTCGCAGAGGGGAGGGGTGAAGACAAGGAAAGAAAGTTCCAAGCTTCTTGGAAAATTTCCCCTCCTCCTGGCAGAGTGCTTGGGAAGGATCTTTTAGTCCCTCAGCACTGGTATGTTGACCCTCACTTCCCCAACTCATTTAAAAATCCTGACTTCTCTGATAGAGCTGAGATTGCAAACCCATTCATCTCTGGGCGAGAGCTAAAACTCACTATTGGCCATGGGCCTCTGGAGAAGAGAGAGTTGTGGCAGGTGGGCATGTCCATTTCCCCTTCTGCACAGGCCCCACTCCCTCCCTCAGGGACAGACCCGAGTGTGCATCTCTCTGCCAGCTCCATATTCAGGTGGGGGTGGTCACGTGTCACAGTTACGCAGAGGCCCAAATGAGCTGTTCACTGCATCTACATACCCCTTCCCAGGCTCTGGTTGGTCATTTGGTGCAATTTACTGAGCACCTCCTGTGTGCACATGTTAATCTGGAACAAGCCAAGTCCTTTCCTTGGATTTACTTCCACATTCTGAGATCCACGTGACATCTTGCCTCTAACCAACTTCCCCCGGGTTACCGGAAGGCCTTGAAGGGCAGCTTCGCCTGTCAGTGAAACCAGCTTCATAGAATTCCTCCCAGAGAAAGCCAAACCACTGAGGGGCAGGGCCTCTTCTTCCAGCTGATGAGCAATGCCCACATCCCCTACCCAGGTCCTTCAGCCATGCTCTCGCCTTGATGTCCCCACAGGTGTGACGAATACATCACACAGTTGGACGAGATGCAGCGGCAGCTGGCAGCCGCCGAGGATGAGAAGAAGACCCTCAACTCACTGCTGCGCATGGCCATACAGCAGAAGCTGGCACTGACCCAGCGGTTGGAGCTGCTTGAGCTGGACCATGAGCAGACCCGGCGGGGTCGCACCAAGGCCAACCCCAAAGTCAAGCCCAGCACCCCGAGTGTAAGTCACACCTGTGCCTGCGCCAGTGACAGGACTGAGGGTGCCGGGCTCGCTGCCCAGGTGCTCTGTGGCGAGAAGTATAACATTTGCTGCGATTAGGGCCTCGGGTGGCACACCGCAGCTAACCTGTCGCCACCACCTGTCTGCTTCACTTCAACTAACCCACCAGCAGCGGGACCGCGGTGCTAGGCTGGTCTTAACCGTGACTAACGCACAAAGGGAAGGGTTTAGCTGAGATGGTGTGCTGCTCCACTTGGACGGTGCACGCTAGGTGTCTGCTTCTCGCCCCTTGGGACCAACCTTCATGGCAGCTGCTCTCTTGGCAGGGCAGGGGTGGGAGTCAAGGTGGGGCCAGAGCCATGAGTCCTTGAATAGATGTGGCTTTCCAGGGCCCAGGTGTCATGGGCTCTGCGGTGAAATTTGCATGTATTTAATGCAGCTGTGCTGCCCCGGCCCCGGGGAACCGTGTTAGAGGTTCTGACTGGGCTCTAGCTGCTGCCTCAGAGGACAGAATTACTTCATAGCTTGTGCACCATCTCCCTGCAAATCCTATTCGGGACAAAAGGACAGAATCTCTACCCCTAAACCCAGAGAAAGAGCAGCCCTAGGCCCCGAGTCCTCCAGCACAGGCATACGTATTCACTGAGCACTGGTCATACTCAGCAGAGGCACAGCTGGCCCCGCCTGAGAGCAGAGCTCAAAGCCTCAGCTTCTCTTTCTGAGATTTGCACACTGGTCTGGTGGTCTGCAAGGTGACACATTAGCAGGCCCAAAGCCTGGGTTTTTTTCAATGAGAAAAACTTCCCAAGTGCCTGACCAGACTCTCGTCCTTGGGGGAAGCCCATCCTTTTGTATCAGGGTGTCCCCAGCTTTCAGAATAGGTTTCTTTACCCTCTGTCCATAATCAGGCCTTTCTCCCAGGGGGCTTTAGACCCTAAGAAACAGTGCTCTGGAAACCCCCAACTGTAGCTGAAGCCCAGCCCAGTGTGGGAAAGGAGACCTGTGTGGGCCCAGGGCCTGCCAGTTCAAGGATTCAGATTGGGATGTGGTTCTCCCAAATCACTGTAATCCAAGGGTGGTGACACCAGGAAGGACAGCTGTAGGGCTCTCCCGTTCCCAGAAGCTACTTCCACACCAGAGCTTAGACACACTCGGAAGCAGAACTTTTCTCAGTATTTTCTCCCTTTGACCCCATGGGGGGCCACTGGGTGTGAGGCTACCGTCCTCTCCTTGAAGGGCTCTCTGTGGCACTGCCCCTCACACAGCTGTCTGCCCCAACTCCACTCTTCCCCTTGGTTCCCTAGTTTGTCTCAGTTCCCACCAGACTCCAGATGCTGCACAGACCACCCTGGGTTTTGCAAACCATGGGAGTGGAGAGATGCAGGTTGGGCACCCCTGTCCCCTCTGCGTGCCTGTCCCTGGTTCTGGGCTGCTTCGCTGATGGGATGTCAGTCTTGGATTCGCCTCCCACTAGAGAAGGGGTCAGGCCCTCCGCCCTGTGCAAGCAGGACTTCCAGGGGCTAGGGCTCCACATGCTGCTTCTACCCCCCTCGCTGAGCTGGGTACGCAGCTTCTGTCCATACATGTAAGGGATCTTCATGAAGCACTTGGAGCTGGCGGCTTCCCTAACACACGCAGGTCTTCTCTGCTGCTGACTAACTCACCCACGCTCACAGCTCGGCAGGAGCTTTAGTTGTCCGACAGGTGACTGGTTCTAATGCTGTCTTGTTTTCTCCCGTTTTCAGCTGTAGATTAGCTGCTGGGAGAACTCGGCCACCGGCCGTGTCACACTGCAACCCCTTCCCTCCCCTCCCGTGGGCCCACGCAGAGGAAGGAAGGGCAGCCTAAAAGTCCACTTAGAAACATTTTTGGATATGCCACTGCAATTCTTTTCAAAGTAGCATTCCCGAGTTTTTATGGCAGAGGAAAAAAGCTTTAAAGTTCAGGAAGCCGGCAGCCGCTGCTGGGAAGGCCTTTTTACAAGCGCTTGAAGAACCTGCTGGGACAGCAGCCACCAAGCTCACTTAGGAACCCGCTAGAAACGCTCAGCACTGGGGTCTCCCTGTTACAGACCCTCCCTTTTCACTTGGTCAACCTGTGCACTTTTGGTATTTTGGTATTATATTTGCTTCCTTAATCCCTCGCATAGAGACGGTCTCAGATGCCGTGGTCTGTCTTGTTGTCCTGTAGTGCCCTGTCTTAGCTCCCAACATGCTGATTTGACACCAGCGTGTGGCACAGATGTGTCCTAGTGTGCAGCTCTAGACTGTTGAGATAAAGGCTTCGACCCGGCAAGGACCTCAGCTACACATCCACGCCGTGGTTCAGCAGCCTTTTAGATTATACGGCATTGTGGTTCATGTTTGAAATTAACAGGTTTTAAATGCCATGTTCATTAAGAAATCCAGGGTGTTCTGATTCTGGGGTTTTTTCATATTGTATTATTATTATTCTTAGGAATAGTTCAATGTAACAAGAAAAAACTTGACCTTTGCTCTGGTTAAACAGTTATAGGCACTTGAAAACAAAAAAGGTAAATTATTGAATGAGTAGTATTACCTACAAATTCCAGAATTTTCTGGGTTTTAGGATGTTGTGAAGCATGACTGATTAACAGAATTTTATACAACTGTACCAGTGAAATTCCAAATTGGAATTGTTTTGTTACTTTGGTTGTTGTGCCAAATTGTGGTACACTTAGAAAATTCTACAGTCGTTCAAATTTAGGGTGTTCTATTTCAACACCGTTTTGTTAGTAATCATTGCCAGTAGTGCCTTCATCAGTTAAGGGAGGTGTCCCAGCCTAGTTTATTCTCTAAAGTGGACAGTGAAGAGCTAGTTGGGAATGTTGAAGGCCAGTGTGGACCAACAGGTGTGAAAGGGCGTCACCTTCACACCTCAACCTGGGCATCTTCACTGAGGGAAAGAAAACAGCAATTGTACAAAATTCTGTTAGTCAGTGATTCTTTACTGTGCAGATCCTTGCAAATTCAGGGGCTGAGAAATGAAAGTGAACACAAACCTTGAGTGTGCTTTGGGAACTAAACGGACTTCGTGGGACAAGCTAAGCAAGCAGTGTGAATAACATGCCACGTTTGTGAAGAGACACTGGGCAGCAGGGAAGCCTGTGCTGTCGGCCTCATGCAGTGGGGTGAGGGACTAGCCATAGTATTCTTTGCAAATGTGAGAAAAAGATGTTATATATTCTCTTGCTTGGTGTAACTAATCACTGTTAATTTCAGGAAACAGAACTTGCTAAAGCTCCTTAGCAAACCAGGTCTGTCCAGTTTGCTGAGTGAGGTTGTGTGAGTGGGTCATATTGGTACTCAGAGAGGAAGAACGGCATTACTCCTCCAAAGTAAAGGGCAAATTATAGTCAGTAGTAAGAATCAAGAGTTCTGTTTCCTGGAATGAGCACTTCTTATTCCTAGTTGTAGGGACCCCTATTTTTACTTTCTGTTACAGTGTTGATTCATAAGAAATGTTACATTTATGATAACTTCATCTATATGGGGTATTTATTTGCAATGATGTCTGAGTACTGTATTTTTTTTTTCTATGCATTGCCTAGTGTCAGAGTGTTATCTTTATTAAGATCATATGCATGTTCTCCTGCCAAGGAACCTTTACACAGACCCACACAAAGAAATAAATGGAAATGGCTTCAGATTCTGAGAAAATGAGGCAGAAAATGGAAAAGGATTGGGAAGGATAAATCAGTCGTGACTTAGGACACAAGCATGGTGTGCAAGTCCTCAAAGCCAGTGCACATAGGAATTGTGGGCCAGGGTGAAGGGTCATGTCGGTAGGATCAATAAATAAAGAATAATACACAGACAAAGCCTAAGGTGTTCACTGTGGCTGCTTTGACCCCCTGCCCTAGATGACTGGGCCCAGCAAGACACTGTTATTCCAGCACCTAAAACAACAAAACCAGCCTATCCAGGGTGGGAGCTGGAAGCAACCTTCGGTACAAATTGGGGGCGGGGGGACGCTGTGGGGTACCTCCCACAATGGGTGTCAGTGTCATGAGCATCCAGCACTGGTAGGAGAGCACACTGCCTTCACACTGTCCTGACCAGAAAACAGATTTGCATAACACAGGACCCTTTGCTGTCCAAACTCTTCTCACTGGACCCAGGAAAGATAAGATGCAGATAAGAGTTACCTGTTTGTCATCACAAAACCATATTCATCTGCATGAATGTGTGTACAAGGCATGTTGAGTCTCTCTGGTGATTGCTTATGGTTGTGGGTGTAGGGGACACATCCTGGCAGAGGGAACAGAAGTCCCTGGGATACTTGGCCACCCCTTCTACTGACAGCCTCAGTCAGGCCTGATCAACTCTTTCCAAACCTTAGGGGGAAGGCCATCTGAGGTCAGGGTCTTTCTGCCCTGGCATCTCCCCAGGACCCTTTCCTGCACCTGGGGTCTCCGCTGGCCGCCTGGTCCCCACAGGCCCTTCCTCTGATGACCCTCATCCCTCTTGTAGCAGTAGTCTAAAGCTATCTTCAGTTTGAAACTTTCTTTCAAGAGGCTTTTTGTTTTTCTAACTCNTGTGGGCCAGGGTGAAGGGTCATGTCGGTAGGATCAATAAATAAAGAATAATACACAGACAAAGCCTAAGGTGTTCACTGTGGCTGCTTTGACCCCCTGCCCTAGATGACTGGGCCCAGCAAGACACTGTTATTCCAGCACCTAAAACAACAAAACCAGCCTATCCAGGGTGGGAGCTGGAAGCAACCTTCGGTACAAATTGGGGGCGGGGGGACGCTGTGGGGTACCTCCCACAATGGGTGTCAGTGTCATGAGCATCCAGCACTGGTAGGAGAGCACACTGCCTTCACACTGTCCTGACCAGAAAACAGATTTGCATAACACAGGACCCTTTGCTGTCCAAACTCTTCTCACTGGACCCAGGAAAGATAAGATGCAGATAAGAGTTACCTGTTTGTCATCACAAAACCATATTCATCTGCATGAATGTGTGTACAAGGCATGTTGAGTCTCTCTGGTGATTGCTTATGGTTGTGGGTGTAGGGGACACATCCTGGCAGAGGGAACAGAAGTCCCTGGGATACTTGGCCACCCCTTCTACTGACAGCCTCAGTCAGGCCTGATCAACTCTTTCCAAACCTTAGGGGGAAGGCCATCTGAGGTCAGGGTCTTTCTGCCCTGGCATCTCCCCAGGACCCTTTCCTGCACCTGGGGTCTCCGCTGGCCGCCTGGTCCCCACAGGCCCTTCCTCTGATGACCCTCATCCCTCTTGTAGCAGTAGTCTAAAGCTATCTTCAGTTTGAAACTTTCTTTCAAGAGGCTTTTTGTTTTTCTAACTCGGGTATCATCTTCCCCTGCTGGCCCATGTTCCCCAACAGGCGCCTGGAAGAGATTGAGAATGGAGCCTGCAACAGATCTGAAGGAGACCCCCTGAGGAGACGTTGGCAGTGGGCCAGGCAGGACAGGCCCCTTTCTAGGTGGGGATGCCACTTGGCCCTTGGTGGCCCTTGGCTCCTACCACCTGCGTGGTGCATTGTGGCCCCGCCCAGTCCCACGTGTGTCTGATTTGCACAAGCAGATGTGAGAGCTTCCCTGCCCTGCAGTGTGTTCTGGGTCTGTGCACATGTGGTTTTTCATTTCAGGGTTGGAATGGCAGTCTCCCAACTGGGCAGCATCTCAGGAGCCTCTGGGTGGGCGCAATTTGGTGCTGAAAGGCCTGCCCAGTGTCCATTCCCACCACCTCCTCGATCTCCCTTTAGCAGTTTTCATCCCCACCTCCCACAGCAGGTTATCAGAGCTGGAAACAACAGTGCCAGCTTGGAGCTAGACCTTCGGTTGAATGATCCCCTTCTGGTAACTGACTTATTCTGGCTGACCACCTCTCTGAGCCTCAGTTTCTCCTCTATAGGTTGGGGACTAGAGTTCTTTGCTTAGAGGTTGTTGTGAAGCTTCACTAAGCCCTAGGCATGCCATGAATGCTCAACAGATGGGTGTTGCTAATATGGTTCTTGCTGCCATTGTCATTACTACCAAGATCTGGGATACCAGGCTATGGAGCTGGGCTTGTGCATTGGGGAGTGTTGTTTTAACTCAGCTTTTTACCAAAGGATAGTTTGCATTTAAGAAAGTACATATCCTAATGTACAGACCAGATATGCAGAAAGGCAACACACACCTGTGTGACCAACAGCCACAAGTTCCTAGGTGTGTCCCATTCTTGGGACACATTAATGGAATGCCTCTATCTGCTGGCCCTGGTGAAGTGCTAAGAGAGTAGACGTGCCAACATTCTGAGATCACCTGGCATGGGATTTTGGCAGGGATGGGCTGCCATCATGTTTGCTTCTTTGCTCAACTTTCAGCTGTGTTCAGACAGCAAAGCTATAAGGTCTGTGTGTTGTCAGATTTCTTGTGGGCAAGCACATTGGCTCTTGTGAGTTCACTTTGTTCACCCATGAGTCTGCCTTTGTAAGACCAGGTCCCTGGGGTGAAGCCCTGCCCCACTCGGGTGGAGCTGCTCCTCCTAAGCAGGAAGAGGCAATACCACAGTAGCTCACTCACAGGAAAGACCTTGTATGGATACTGTGAGCACACCCCCATATGGGCCTCCTGGGAGGAGAGAACAGTACAAATCTATCACACACACTAGGTTTCTTTTGGTTCATCTCATTCTCAAGTAAAGAATCGGGATTTGTTTTATTTACCCTAAAGTGTAAAGTATAGCACATACGTAAGAGTGCAAAAAAATGTTTACTGGCTGGATTTTTCCAAACTGAACACACTGTACCCACTACCCAAATGAGAAGCAAATGAGGGCAACCCCCCAAAGCCTTCATACTCTCTGTACCCACTCTTCCTCCTTGAGTCTGTCAATGCAGGTCACTTGTGCCTATTTCTGTACTTTCTATAAATGGAAGCATAAAATAGAGTCCTAGTGCTTTGATAGATTTACTTACCAAACCTCACTGATTGCTCACACCATGACTGAACTATGCATTTAGAGGTGACTCACTGATGATATAAGTCAGTAGAATGTAAAAGAATGGAAAAATATATTCCCTGCACACAGTAGGCAAAACAATAGGAATGGCTATACTAATAGACATTAAGACAAAGTTGATAAGAGAAAAAAAACAGGTCATTATATAATGATAAGAGTAAGTTCACCAAGAAGACTGAATTATAAACATATGTGCACCAAACAACAGAGCCCAAAAATACAATAAGCAAAACTCAGAATTGAAGAGAGAAATAATTCATTAACAATAGTTACAGACTTCAATACTCTACGTCCAATTGTAGAACAAGAAAATATCAAGAAATAGAATACTTCAACAGAACTCTAAGCCAAGATTACTTGAACAGAACTGTAAGCCAAGCCTAGTACACCTATGGAACACTCCAACCAACAACAGCAGAATACATATTAACACATTGTTTGCGGGTAGTTTTTATCGCGCGCTCTACCACCAGTCAACGTAAAACGTATAAATACGTTTCCCACATACAATGTGTTAAGTGCATACAGAACATTTTCCAGGATAGACCATATGTTAAAACACAAGTCTCAAGAAATTAAAGAAAACAAGTTAAACATTATTGTCCAATGACAATGGAATAAGGAATAATGAGATTTAGGAAATTCATGAATATATGTAAATGAAAAAATACACTTCTTACTAATGAGCCAAAGAAGATAAGAGGAAAGATAGGTACCTCTCAAATCAATAATCTAACCTCCCACCTTAACAAATTAGAAAACCAGAAAAAGAACAAACTAAGTCCAAAGCAAGCAGAGGAAAGGAAATAAAGATTAGGGGACGATAATGAAATAGGAAATGGGGGGGGGGGAACGCCACCAAAAGTTATTTCTTTGAAAAGGTGAGCAAAACTGTCAAGTCCTTCACATATACACACCCTACAAAAATCAGAAACGACAATGGAGAAATTATTACTGAACTTATAAAAATATGAAGGGTAACAGAGTACTGTGAATAAATACACACCAAAAAATTGGACAGCCTAAATCCAAGCCGGAAGAAACAGTAAAGAGATAAATGAAATAGAAAAATCAATAAGTAATTTCCTAGGACACTGACAAACCTTTAGCTAGACAGACAGATGAGAATGTAACCAGTAATGAGAATGGTGACATTCTAGTGACTTTACATAAATAAAAAGATGATGACACAATATTATAATAATGCCAACAAATTATATAACTAAAAAGTGGCAAATCACTAGAAACACCAGCCACCAAAAGTGGCTCCTAAGGAAATAATCTTAATAACTCTATAACAAGAAATCGAATCAGTAATCAAAAACCTTCCAATAGGACTTCTGGTTTCTGGTCCAACCTATGAGGAGCTGAGAAGTCATGACTTTGTTATAACAGTAAGAGCTGAACTAACTTAAAAACCAACTCAGAATTCTTAGATCCATCATAGAAGGGAGGACACAGGGTACCACTACCCCAAAATTGTAGAGATAGAGGTACAGAGAATTAATTGCAACTTACCAAAGCAGTTGTAACCAGTACTTGGGGAGGAAAACCTGAACTATAATTGATGAACTGCTGGAGGCTCAGTGTACACAAGTGCAAAAGATAAAAGCTGCAGGAGCCCCAGTCATGGAGGGGACCTTCACACTTACATGAGTTTTACCTCCAGGAGCTCTACCAGGTTCCCACAGTGAAGACAGGAGAAAAATACCCTCAGGCTTCCAGCACCAGAAGGGAAAAGTAACCATTTTGAAAGACCCTACAGGACTCTGTTCTTAACCAGGCCTATCCTCAAGACAAAACTGCTTTATCACAGGCTAATCTGGGGGAAGGAAAATACCTAA